GAAACCAATAGGAATCATCTAAAATGATGGATTTCTTGATTCTCTTGAACAATCTACAGACTGGCAAAAGCAGACCTGCTTTAATTTCTGGCATGGCATCAACTGCCTGGGCTGAAGGAGCAATTGCTCCAACTGGATGGAGAATTGTCAAATTGGGTACCCAACATCCCATCATTCTATGGCTTCTCAGTTCTACTCCTTCATACAAACTTGTCCAACCTTGAAGGCATTTGTATTCATAACCATATTATTGATCACTTTGATTTGAGCCTTGTGCCTCCCAATCAGCTCTCACTGGATAAAACCCTCCCAACCCGAGACTCCCACTGACAGTCCACCACCCACAACAGCCTCATAATCTATTCCCTCAGCTTAGCCCACAAGTGCCAGGGGAATCTGTGCCCCAGTTGCTGCCCCCAATACCTCTCCAGACCCCTGGCCCAGCCCTCTAGGAACTCCTTCCAAGCCCCATAACCACCATGGTGGTCATTCTGAAAACACAGAGAGGAATCTGACATCTTTTATTGATTCTAAAGAAAGACTCCTGCATTCTTATACTGAGGAAGGAGTTCTTGGATTTTGTGCCGGGGTGCTGAGATGGCTTGGACGATCCTCAGTGGGGGGAGGTACTTCTGGGATGCCATAAAAATGGGATGATGTGGCTTAACTTTCTTGTTGACACTACACAAATCCAGGATCAGAGACTTTGGCTTGTAGATGCTTTTCTTCTTGGGCCCAACTGGGGTAAATGGTGGTATTTTGCGAGGCTCCACGAGCAGCCGTACTAGGTCCTTCCGAAAGATATTCCAGCTGTTCTCCTTGAGCAATCTCTGGCACATGTCATCATCACTGAAGGATAGGACAGAAGTTGAGGTCTCTAGCTAGCTCCTCCCTACTCTTGCCCTTCAGCCTTTCCTCCTGCCACTCTTTTCCATGCCTAAATACAGGAACCCAGTTCTAGCTCTTTGCCTTTCTCCAGGCTCCTGTTTCCTACTCTACCTTTCTATGACCTTCTTTGCATAGACCTATGCTTTCCCCTGCAGTGGTTACAAGCCATATGCAGCTACTGAGTACCTGAAATGTGGCCAATCTGAATTAGGGATGTGCTTTGGGTGTAAAACATACATTAGATTTCAGAGACTTACAACACAAAAGAATGGAAAATATTTCATGAATAGTTTTTATATTGATAAAATGTTTAAATTATAATACTTTATATATACTGAATCTAAAAATAGATTATTCACCTATTTCTTTTCATGTCTTACAATGTGGTTTTCGAAACATTTAAATTATATATAGGATCTCTAGCCATCCAAGAAATATAAATCAAAACCACAATGAGGGCTGGAGTTGTAGCTCAGTTGTAGAGCGCTTGCCTAGCATGTGTGAGGCACTGGGTTCAATTCTCAGCACCACTTATAAATAAAATAAATAAAACTTCATCAACAACTAAAAAAAATCTTTAAAAAAATACAATGAGACACCACCTATACCCACTAGGGTTGTTACCACAAAAAAGACCTACAATGCCAAGTGTGGTGGCGCATACCTGAAATCCTAGTGGCTTGGGAGACTGAGGCAGGAGGATCACAAGTTCAAAGTTCAAAGCCTGCCCCAGCAACAAAAAGGCACTAAGCAACTCAGTGAGACCCTGTCTCTAAATAAAATACAAAATAGGGCTGGGGATGTGGCTCAGTGGTCGAGTGCCTCTGAGTTCAATTCTTGGTACCCATCCTACTCCATACCCCCACCCCCGCAAAAAAAAAAAAAAAAAAAAGACTGACAGGAGAGCTAGAGATATAGCTCAGTGGCAAAGTGGTTACTTAGTGTGCACAAGGTCCTGGGTCTGATCCACAGCACCAAAAGTGAGGAAAAAAAAGACAGTAATAAATATTGATGAAGATTGTGCAGATATTAGAATGAGGATTTTGCTATATGGATGTAAACTGCTATGTAGCCATTTTGGAAAATGGCCTGACAATTCCTTAAGAGGTTAAACACAAGTTACCATATGACCCAGCAATTCATTCCTAGGTATATATATAAGAGAAATGAAAATATATGTCTATAAAAAAACCTGTACAATAATGTTCATAGCAGTATTATTTATAATAGCTAAAAAGTGTAAATAATCCAAATGCCCATCAACTGGTAAGTATATAAATAAGGTGAGATATATACATATTGTATGACTCCATCTATATAAAATGTCCAGAACAGTCAAATCTAGAGAGACATATCATAGATTGGTGGCTGCCTTGGACTGGTCATGGTGCTCTGGCCCTACCCAGGCCCCTTTCCCCATAGAGTGTGGGGCAAACATGCACAGGATGGAACGGACTTAGCATTAACTGATTTATTTCCTTCTGAGACCACAGCAAGGGAAGGATGCTAAACTTCCATTGATTTGCCTGTGCTTGCCTACCTAAAGGGACAAGCCTAATAACTAACAACCTAGAAGGTTCTTCTGGCTAGATGATAATGACCAAGACAAAGTCAATTGTGATCCCAGAGATCCACCGAAGAAAACATGTAGAGGTCAGAATGGGCTATTAGCTAGTCCTTTTGGTATCCGTGATGTTCCAAAACCAGCTCATAACCATTCACAAAAGCTAACAGTGTGAATTCTCTTCTCAACTCCATGTTGAATGATATCAGGTTGGTAGCTTGAAACTGGCCATGGTGGGCATATGTACACCACAAAAATCAGCAAGCCTTGACAGTTAGGGTTTTCTCCAGCCTCCTGGAGAGCTGGTACCAGCACACCTCTAGTTTCCACTTAAAAAGTTCACATTAATTCCACCAATTTCTTACAAAATGAATAATAGTATCTGACTTTGACCTACTACTTATCAAGTGTCAAGCACTTTATATTGGTTAACTCATTTAATCTCTATTTCATAAATATAGAAAGTTAGGGCTCAAAAGGGCTAAGGAACTCACTAAAATCTATGAGGGGTAAGCATGGGATTCTTTTATTTATTTTTTTTTATTTTTGGACCCAGAGTCCAAGTTAATACAGACAAGATTCCACATCATGTCTGGATGATGATGGTCACATTTGTTTCTAGTCTACTCTGTTACTAAGCAGGGCAGCTTTCCAGAGTCCTCTGCCTGGGAGTTCCATTCCAATCCCCTGCCTCACTTGATGATTTCTTACGTCTTCACAGGCTTTGACACTTTAGCTCATGTGGCTTTTCACCACTCTGGGACAACCCCAGCATTGAATCTTGTTGTTTACTTGATTTGGAGGAGCCTCTTCATTTTGGCCTTTGAGGATTCCTCTGTCTTTCCTATGAACTGAGATCTCCATTTTGTTCTACATGCAATGGCCTGGGTTGTGTATGGGTGATTTTTAGGTTTCTAGCCCATGGCATTCATAGGGCTGGTGCCTCTGCCTGACTGATTTTAGGACCTCAAGTCCTTAGTTAAAACTTAAGAGATTTGAGCTACATAATGGATATGTTTCTGGCCTGCTTTGGCAGTCTAAAAAAGCATGAGTTCAACCTGCCTGTCAGCATTAGAGATGACTAAAGTAAAGCGCTGACTTGGCAGTACAGGCACCAAGTGCTCAAACATCTGTGGAGGCAAGTCTATGTGAACCTTTTCAGAATTTCAATTCTACAAAAATTAGCTGAAACCACCCAGGGCCAGCTATCACTCGAGGAGCTGAGGTTCCTTAGATCTTTTTCAAGTAGGTCAGTCTTAACAACCATTTTCCATATTGGTAGTGCACAGAAAACAGAGATGCAGCACCTCTGAACTGGGAGAAGTCAACAGTGAGTCTCTCCACTTGTTTTTCTCATAAAATTCCTTCAATTTTTTGTCACATAAAATTTGCTCATTATTATTCTTAAATCCACTCATTTCTTTTACTTAAACATCTACTTTAGCTCTTTCCTGAGCAACAAAATCTACCAATCTTGAGGTTAGTAAGCTCATCCTGTTATTTTTCTAACGCACACTGTCAAGGTTAAACATGTCAATCTGTGCACCATAGAACATCATCTTGCAAACCTTCTGTGGAATGTGTTTCATACTTTGGGAAACAATGATCTAGCCAATTTTTTCTTGTTCTGCTGATTGGACTCTGAAGTCTGAGAGGAAATGACTTGCCCAAGATCACAGAGCTCTCATATAGAATTATGAACTTATTGGACACACTGCAAGAATCTACAGATCTGAGCAGGCTGCAGTGGCACACACCTGTAATTCTCAGCAATTTGGGAGGCTGAGGCATGAGGAAAACAAGTTTGAGGCCAGTCTCAGTAACTTAGTGAGATTCTGTCTCAAAATAAAAAATAAAAAGGACTAGTGAAGTTGCTCAGCGGTGAAAAAGATTCTACAGATCTGCCTGCCTCCACACCTCCTCTTTCTCTACCACTGGACTAGCACTTGCTTCCAACACCTGCTGGCAAAACCAGGTAAGTTTATGTATACTACCAAAGACATAGTGGTAGCATATATATAATTTTGTACTGCTCCTTCCATGTATCACTAGCTTATCCACTTAACATTCCAGTTATGGAGTCATTAAACTTATCATCTTTTAATAAGACAGGGATATTCTATCAAGGGAATGTACTGCTTTTCTTACTATCTCCTTATATGTGGCACAGGTGGAGGTAATGGTGGTGATTTTCCTATTATGAATATGACTGCTATGAACATTTTAATGCTTGTAGCTTTCCCCACATTTTGGCTTCCTAAGGACAAATTCAGGGATGGATCACTGCCTCAAAGGGTAGGATCATATAAGGCTAAAATTAACAATGTCAAAAGGAATATGAGGCTAAAATTATCATCAAAAGGATTGAGCCAATTTAGAATATAATAACTACCAGTTTCATTTCACTATTGTCAGCATTCAGTATTACTGATTTTTTCCTCCCTCCCTCCTTCCCTCCCTCCCTCCCTTCTTTCTTTCTTTTACTATAACAACAGGCAAAAGCTCGTTCCTTTGATCTGATGGGACTTACACACTGCCCAATACTGACCTGGGGTACTCAATGTCAGACCTCAACAACTTCTCTCTTGTCTCTTCATCAATCATTTCATAAAATTTTTCTTTCCTTAATCGAATCAACTCAGTTCCCAGGCTCACGAGAATCAAGGGCCGCATGTCACGACGGCTCTCTGGAAGGAAGGCCTGGTGAAAGCCCTAGAAAGAAGTAATCACAGAAAACTGGACCTCAGAAACCAGTCAGTTCTACCAGCAGATTTTCTAGATAGCAAAATAAGGCCTCAAATAAGAGGTGAATCCACTGCAGTCACTGAGCTTGTGATGGGGAGGGGAAGTCCAGGGCTACTTTTGCTACTTGACATGACAGTCTTCTGATTCCTGGAATTAGAAAGCCCTAAGTGCTTTCTCCATGGTCCCACCTCCACAGAGCAGGCTCTTTTCCAAGAACTACACTCATACCACTGCTTCTTGAGCTTTCTCCAATGTCAAATCTCAACTATCTTTTTTGAGACAGATTTCACTCTGATGCCCAGGATAGCCTTGAACCTCTGTGCTCAAGTGATCCTCTGCCTTGGCCTCCTGGACTAGCTAGAACTAGCCATCTCACCCAGCTTTCAACTCATTTTTGCCAAGCAAGCTTGTTTTCTCTTCCTCAGGACTTAGGACAAAAACCAAATAGCTAGTCCTTATTTAGACATCCCCCTTTTCAGCCACCCCTTACCCCATCCTTTTCTGTAGGCCCCAGTCCTCTCTGCAGCTTAGTGTACCCCCTGCTTTTTGGCTTGGTTCATACCTGGTTGTATCTGAAAATGAGATGGAGAGCCTTAGGCATACCTGCTTGCTTTACAGAGTATAAGCCTCTTCATAAGGAGACACTCTGGAACTGGCTGAGCAAAGCCAAGAACCCTTGTTGCTATACTCTAAATCCAGTGCTCACACTTTAGCTTCTTGGCTGGTTAATTAAGACTCAGGTAGGGAGGGAAGGAGAGGCTACTGGCCCCCCAGAGCCTCCAGCACCCAGCTTTCTAAGACTCAAGAACAAAAGAGATCCCAAATCAAGAGACCTGCTCTTTGGAGGCCAGGTAAGATTAATCCTGGCTTCCGAAAGGATATCTACATTTTTCATTTGCTTTGTGGCTTTGGGCAAGCAATACCTCCCTGGGCTGCTGTTTGCTCACCTATGAAATGAAAGTGACAGCCAGGCACAGTGGTGGTGGTACATATCTGTAATTCCAGCCACTCAGGAGGCTAGACAAGAGGATTACAAGTTTGAGGCCAGTCTGGGTTCAATCTCCAGTACTAAGGAAGTGGGGAAAGGAGCGTGGGCAGGGGGCAAAAATGTTGCTCCTACTATGTGAAGAAAATACATACAAATATAATCTTCACAACTGTCCTATTGTATAGCGATCATCCTCCTTAGCTGTGGAAAATGAGGTTCAGAAAAGAAAATTTACTTGTCCACAGTCATGTATTTTATATTCCCAACAATGATAACACTGACAACAATTGTTATGGTTTGGATATGAGGTATCCTTCAAAAGTTCCTGTGTTAATTCAGGAATACTCAGAGGTAAACTGATAAGATTAGGAAAGCTGTAACCTAATCAGTCCATCCTAGTTGGAATGGACTGACTGGGTGGTAACTGTAGGCCATAGAGTTAACAGTAGGGGTGTGGCTGGAGGAGGAGGGTCATTCACTGGGGAGTGCCCTGGAAGGGTTCATCTTCCCTGTAGTCTCTTCTCCACTTACCCCTCTGCCTCTCTCTGCTTCTGGCCACCATGAGCAGAGTAGCACTTCTTTGCCATGCCTTTCTGCCAGGATGCGCTGCCTCACCTTGGGCCCAGAGCGATGGATTCTGTTGTCCCTGGACTAAACATCTTAACTTTGAGCCAAAATAAACTTTCCCTCCTCCAATTCATCCTTGTCAGGTATTTTGATCACAGCATCACAAAACCTGATTAACACAAAGACGAAGGTAGCACCAGCTAACATTTATTAAGCATCCACTAAATTACAGGGCCTCTTGTAGTTTGTGGTTATATTAAGTCATTTAAGTCTCACAAACACAATGGCATGGTTCCCTATTTTGTAGATGAGGATGCTGAGGTTAAGAAAAGTGTCCAACATTATACAGCATTAAAGCAATAAAACCATTCTTTTTAACATTTTTTATATTTATTTTTTAGTTGTAGTTTAACACAATACCTTTATTTATTTATTTATTTTTATATGGTGCTGAGGATCGAACCCAGGGCCTCACATGTGCTAGGCAAGCACTCTACTGCTGAGCCACAACCCTAGCCCCAGGGGCACTCAACCACTGAGCCAAATCCCCAGCCAAATCCCCAAATCCCCCAGGGTCTCATTGAGTTGCTTAGTAACTCATTTTTTTCTGAGGCTGGCTTTGAACTCGAGATCCCCGGTCTCAGCCTCCCAAGCCACTGGGATTATAGGTAGTGCCACCATGCCCAGCTAAAGCCAGGATTTGAACCCAAGTTGTCTGTTTTCAGAATCCACACTTTTTACCACTATGGTATGAGGAAACTGAGGAATGAAGAGGTTGAGTAACTTGCCCAAGACACAAAGTGGCAAAGCCAGTATTTGTTTTGTGTTGAGACAGTCTCATTACATTGCCCAGACTGATGTCAAACTCATAATCTTCCTGCCTCAGCCACATAAAGCCAGGATTTGAACTAAGGAATCTATTCAGGAGCAGTACTGGCACTCTTCTCCACTGCCAGGTCCATCCCCCATCACACACGAACACATGAACACACACGTGGGCACACACACACACACACACACATACACACACACATGCACATAGCTGGAATCAGGTCACTTCCTCTGTCTAGATCCTTCAAAAAACTTCCCAAAGTACCGGGGATAAAACAGAATACTTCATCATGGCTGCCAAGGCATGGACTATCTATCTCACCATTGCTCTGCTTTTCAGCCTGGTCCATTGCTGCCACTACCCTACCTCGTTTACTCTGATCCAGCCATCCTGCCCTCCCTTCCAGTCTCTTCAACATGCTGTGCCTCCTTCCTGCCTCCTTCCTTCCTTGCTTGTCCTTCTGTCTGAAATATTCTTCTCCCTTGTCCTGTTTCATCATTCAGGTCTCAGCTTGAACATACTTCCTCAGAGACCTCATTTAAGAAGGTCACCTCCCCACTCTGCTTTCCAGTACTTTTCCAACAGCAATTTGCTATTTTTCATGTACTTGTTAGAAATCTGTATACTATGTGTAACCCAACTAGATCAAATACTCCATGAGGCAGGAGTTATGTTGGTTAACTCACTCACAATGGCACCTTGTGCCATGCTTGGGAGCACAATAGATACTCAAGGAATATCTGTTAAATGAGTGCACAAATGGAGTCACAACATTCAAAGTGGCAACTCACCCTGGTGAATTTCCTCATTTTCTGATGAGGATACAGATTGAGAAGCAAAGTGATTTGCCCAAGTCTGCACAGCTAGCAATTAGAAACAAAATCAGAATAATATTCCTCCATCTGTCACCTCTTTGATGCTCTGTCCATGGCTCTGGCCTGTCCTGACTACCTCTTAGGCCTAGGCCTGCCTATTCCCTGGAAAGTTGGTTCTCCTACACCTCTTGGCTCAAAATCTGGGTCTCTCTGCTCCAAGGCCCCCACCTCTGCTGTTCCCATACTCCTGCTTCCAAGGGTAAGGGAAACGTGATAGATTCTTACCTTTTGTAAGTGAATACTCAGAGCTGTTACCCACTCATTTGCCTTAAATGAAGCCAGGGCCTTGAAAGCAGTACAGAGTCTTATTCAAAAGCACCTCATTAAGACTTTCACCAACATTTTCTTCAAAAAGGGTCACATAAACAAGTATTTGTAGTGCGCCTTCTATGTATGTGGTGTCCTGTGCATAGAGGGGGAGAGGTGGCCAGGTCCTTGCACTAAGCCCTACTCATAACTTTCCCGGCCTCCTAAGGAATTAAGACCAAACTCCTCATTCTGGCATCGTGAGTCCTCTATAGTACTGGCCTTATTGCTCATATCCCTTACACAGCCTCCCATCAAGGTCACCATCTACCTGCCCTCCATGCTTTGATTCTACCCAGGGTGCCCAAGCATGCCTAGCTTTTCCACCTTGGTTCCCTGTGTCTGTTCAGTTCTAAGCAGCACTCTCTGAAACACTGACAAATTTAAGAGAAGCAAGCAGTAAAGAGGCTGGAGAACACATCACATGAAGAATGACTAGAGAAATGGAGGAGTTTGCCTGAATAAGAAAATAGTTAATGGAACATTGGCACTGTGCCTGGCTACAGAAATGCTGAATGAAAACCAAAACATCATTCTCTAAATATCAATGGGGCCATCACATGGTAAGGAAGCTGATTTCTTCTATTTTCTTTTTTGGAAGGTAGAGACCATGGGAGTAGAGTTACTTTAAAGTTGCAAAAGGCAGCTGGCAAATACCTGTAATCCCAACTACTCAGGAGCCTAAGGTAGGAAGATTACAAATTCAAAGATAGCCTGGGAAACTTAGTGATACCTTGTCACAAAATAAAAAATAAAAAGGGCTGGGGATGTAGCTCAGTGGTAAAGGAAGGGTTCTATCCCCAGGACTGGGGGCTAGGGGGAAAAGTTACAGAAGTTAGGTTTTTCTTGAACAAAAGGAAGAATTTTCTAAGAGTTCAAAAATATTCAAATCAGCTTAGAGGGTTCATTCTAGAGGTTGGCTCTCTGATAGTCTTGGGCTGAATTTCCTGATACACCAACTAGTGAGACAGGACCAAACATGGGGAAGGAGGGCGTGAAGACAGTCTTGGAGCAACTGTAACAAGGCACAGCAGAAAGGGCACAGAGCAGGTTCCCAGACTCTGCATGAGTGCACACAGAGTTTCAAAAGAAAGCCTCTCCCCAGGCAGGCTGAGGCCCACTGCTCCATATCTGTTACCACCATGCTTTTCATCCTGCCATTCAGCTCCGCACCCTTCACCAGCTTCAATGGTGATTAACTTATCACCAGTCTTGGTTCATCCATACTCACCCCTTTACTATTGGATTAATTTTTAATGGTCTATTTTTTAGAATAGCTTTAGATTTACAAAAAAACTGAGAAGCTAGTATAGTATTTTCATATATTTCCCAACCTGTTTCCCCTATTAATATCTTACATTATATGATATCTTTGTTAAAATGAACAAATCAATATTGACATTATTATGAGGTTAATGAGTTATTTAGATTTCCTGTTTTTAATGTAATGCACTTTTTTTTGGGGGGGGGGGTGATGGTGCTGCATCAAACCTAGGGCCTCTGCCACTGAGCTACATCCACAGCCTACCAAATGTCTTTTTTCTGTTCCATTATCCTATCCAAAATACCTTACATGTAACTGTCATGTCCCTTTAGTCTCCTCACAGTTGTGGTAGTTTCTCAGGCATACCTTGTATCTGATGACCTTGACAGTTTGAAGGGTATACATCAGGAATTTTGTGGATGCTCTAGTATTAGAATTTGTCTGATATTTTTCTCACAATTATACTGGGGTTTTGGGGTTACTGAGAGAATGACCATTAGACAGTGCCATTTTCATCACACCATATCCAGTGGCAACATTATCAACATGATTTATTACTGTTGATGTTGTCCTTGATAACCTGGCTGAGGCAGTGTTTCTTAGATTTAACCCTTTTCCTTACTGTACTCTTCAGAAGGAAGTCACTGTACACAGTTCAATCTAAAGAATAGGGATTATAATGTAATGTTCTCCCTTCTTGAGGGCAGGGTATCATGCTTCAGAATTATTCTGTAGGGAGATTTGTCTTTTCTCCATCTACTAATTCATTCACTATTGATTTATTTATATCATGAATGTATGTCATTCATTTATATCACTATGTCATGGACATTTATTTTATACTTTGGGTTTACAATCCTGTACTGCTTTATTTTATTGCTCAAATACCTTTGGCCAGCAGGGGTTCTTTACAGTGGCCTATGCCCTTTGACATGCCCTGAAGTTTGCCCCCACCAACATTTCCTTTATTTTCAAGAACTATAAAATGTTCTAGGCTCATCTTACATAGACCACTGTTCCTTTTATTGGGAAATGTTATTAGAAATCAAGATCTGGCTTCTTGAGATTGGCCTGAGAAATGATTTTTTTATTTTTTTTTGAAATGACACCAAAACCCAGGCAAATGAGATTGCTTCAAACTAAAATACTTATGCATAGCAAGGGAAACAATGAACAGAATAAAGAGACAACCTATAGGATGGGAGAAAAATTTGCAAACCACACATATGATAAAGGAGTAATATCCAAAACATGAAAAACAACTTAGTAGTAATACAACAACCTGATTAAAAAATGGGCAAAGTGCCAGGTGCATGTGCACATCTGTAATCCTAGCAGCTCAGGAGGCTGATGTAGAAAGATCACCAATTCAAAGCCAGCCTCAGAAAATTAGAAGGCCCTAAACAATTTAGCAAGACTCTGTCTCAAAATAAAAAGGGCTGGGGATGTTGCTCAGTGGTTAAGCATCCCTGGGTTCAATCTCAGGTACAAAAAAAAGAATTCCACCATTATGCATAATTATAATGTGCTCAACATCATTAAGCATCAAGGAAGTAAAAATTCAGTATCAAGGAGATACTGAATCCTATTGTTATAAAACAGCAATTATCAAAAAGATTACAAATATTGGTAAGAATATTAAAAAAAGGAATCCTGGGCTGGGATTGTGGCTCAGTGGTAGAGCACTCCCCTAGTATAGGCGGAACCCGGGTTCGATCCTCAGCACCACATAAAAATAAAGGCATTGTGTTGTGTCTATCTACACCTAAAAAATAAATATTAAAAAAAAGGAATCCTTGCACATTGTTGATAGAAATGTAAATTAACATAACCAATATGTAAATAGTATGGAGCGGTTCCTTAAAAAATTAAAAAATAAAAAGAATCATTTGATCCAGCAATCCCACTTCCAGATATATATTTAAAGGAAATGAAATCAGTATGTTGAAGAGATAGCTGCTTTCCATGTTTACTGCAGCATTATTCACAAGAGTGAAGATGTGAAATCAAAGGGCTGGGGGTGTAGCTCAGTAGTAGAGTGCTTAGCATATATAAGACACTGAGTTACTCTCCAGAATCACATAACAAATTAATTAATTAATTAACTTAAAAAATAAAGTTATTAAAAAAATGCGAAATCAACCTAAGTGTCCCTCAATGGATGAACAGATAAAATGTGGTACATATGCCAGTTATAGATCAGAATAATATCTACAATTGGCATATGTACTTCTTTAAAAAGAAGATAATATTGTCATTTGTAACAACACAGACGAACCTGGAGAACATTATATTAAGTAAAAGCCTGTCACTGAAAGATAACACACATCTCACATATATGTAGAATCCAAAAAAAGCTGAACTCTAGAAGTAGAGTAGAATGCCTGTCTGGTGCTGTGGGTTGAAGATGTTTTGGGGAGTTGTTGGTCAAAGGAAATAGAATTTCACTTAGGAGGAATAAGTTCAAGACATCTATTGTACATGGTGGCTATAGATAATAATAATGTATATACACTTGGAAATCTCTAAGAGATTAGATATAAATGTTTTCATTATAAAAAAAAATACCATATGGGGCTGGGGTTGTGGCTCAGTGGTAGAGTGCTCATCTAGTGCGTGAAAGGCCCTGGGTTCAATCAATTTGCACACACATAGATAAATATTTCTATATGTAACCATCTGTAAGTGTATCTGAGCTAAATTTGAATTCATACTGATGTCTTTAACCCATTATCATATGGATCCTTCTAGCTGCCTCTCATTTGTAAATTTCTACTCATTTAGTGAAAAACCTAGATCCCACCATTTGCCAGTTTTTACTTAATTGATCCACTTTAATATATACTGTAGTAATATCAGGATTATTAATACATACCTACATGGGAAACAACCTTATCAACTAGAGTATAGGGTTCACATACAAATTCATTGTGCCTTTAATATTTTTCCTAATTTTTTTTAGATGTATATGGATACAATACCTTTATTTTATTTATTTATTTGTATATGGTTCTGAGGATTGAATCCAGGGCTTCACACATGCTAGGCAAGCACTCTACCACTGAGTTCTAACCCTAGCCTCTACCTTTAATTGTAATGACTCCACTCATTTCCAAAGTTACTTAATGTTAATACCCTTTTCCCCAACCTCTTCAGGATGTTTCATGCATTTGTAATGTTAGATTTTCTTATCATAATCCACATTCCTTCCTGAAATCCACTGACCTCCTAAATGATTCTTTTAAAATTGCATATTTTAAGATTCACTCTTAGCCAGGCACAGTGGTGCACACCTGTAATCCCAGTAAGTTGGGAGGCTAAGGCAGGAGGATCACAAGTTCAAAGCCAGTATCAGCAGATTAGTGAGACACTTAGCAACTCAGTGAGACCCTATCTCTAAATAAAATAAAAATTGATGTCTTAATACTGAATCTTCCAATCCATGAATACAGAAATATTTCTACACTTATTTAGGCCTTCTTTAAATTCTTCCATTAGAGTTACATAGCTTTCAGCATGTAGATTCTATGTGTGTGTGTGTGTGTGTGTGTGTGTGTGTGTGTGTGTGTGTGTGTATGTGTT